GTTGTTCCCAGGTTGACCCGGGGTGGTAGCGCCTGTTAGGGTCAGAGTTAAGGGCAAATAGTTAAACTGAGGTAAAAAAAAAACCATGAAAGTATAAAAATAGATTTTTATAATAAAATGATTTCCAATAAATTTTTGAAAAAAAATATTACCAGCAATGCATTTGACTCTCAACAAAAGACGTCTTTACAAAAATACGTCTATGAAACCTGATCTAAAAAAACTGATTTCTTACAAAGAATGCATTTTCTTTTCATATGAACCTCTCCTAAAATTCTTGTCGGCATTAAATAACGCATTGAGATTGATAGGCCGATAAGCCAAACAGATACACGTGCGCGCGTGGACACACACACACACATATATATAGATAGATAGATAGATAGATAGATAGATAGATAGATAGATAGATTGATGATGGTAGCAGGTATTTCTCCACTTTGCTCGGTTTTCAACAGCAAGTTCGAACTCCTCTATAGAGTTGTTTACAGCAATTAAATTGTATTTAAGTATTATGTATATATATATATATATATATATATATATATATATATATATATATATATATACTATGGTCTCTTTGCCAACTCTGCCTCAAAAGGGGAAGTATCGAGGTGGCTTGGACAATATTTACACGGGGTTGCCGTTGGACCCATTTTAAACTGACCTTGTGTCAGATTCGTTAGTGAAGTGGGCGTAATGAAAAAATACAGGTATATGCAAAAGTTCTCAGTGTTCTATTTAATGTTGGCATTTATAAACCAAGTTTTTTTCCTGGGCTCATATATGTGCGTTTTCTTTAATATACACAATCGGAACCACTTAAGAAAACATAGCAAAACCTTCTTAAAAACATATTTCTCACAAAATCTACGTTTATTATTCCAGGGCATTGTAGATGCAGAAATGAAAAAGAATGAATTGTCAAATTTAAATCGATCTTTAATTAATTTTTTACTTTATGTACGGCTTACCTCTTCTTTATTTTTCTTATAATTTAAAAGGTTATCCATCAATGACATGGAGGAATAAAATCTCAAAAACTAATATCAATTCATCTCTTAGAAACCAGATCGTAAATTTGTCATTTGTGGAAAGTTAAATATTTATCATCGAGTCAAAACCGTTAAAGCGAATTTGAAAAACGAGAGAAAATGCCTTATTCTTTAATTTATTTATTTATTTATTTATTTTTTTTTTTTTTTTTTTTGCTGTTTACTGATCTTGTATTTGTTTTTTTATTACGGAATCTGTCATTGCAAAATCACCTTATTGCATCAGACTTCTACACCAGGTTTTCATAGCCTCCATCTTGATTTGCTGTTAACGACCTGTCGATACATGTACGAACAGAATGGCGACTCATAAAGGCTTTATTTACTGTCATCTGAAGCCCCTTACAAGGAATGTCTGTTGTTTTTGCTAAAAAAAAAATACTCCACAGAAATCATGAGATAACCTGCATAGTTTTCTTGTTTATAAACAAAAACTCGCAAAGAAATAGAAAAACAAGAATATTATAATCCGACATTTTGATTTATGAAGCTTCTTTATGTTTGCTGGTTTCAATCTCATGAAGCTGATGCGTTTTCAAGGAGTTAACGCCAAAGCTTGTTTGTTCGTTTTTATTGATGCCTGTGTTGACATGTATTTGTGCTTCTAGATTTAAGATCACCTTAATCTGGCACAAGGACAATAATAAGGAAGTAAACTGTGAAACAGCAAGACGCTACAAGAATCTATCTCACATATCTATAAGTCTACCACTCATCCATGCTTAAAATATTGCTGCCACATATGATCCGGTGCTCCTGCTATTGACCTTGAGCTCCTTGATAAGATCCAAAGAAGAATCAGCAATATTATTGATCCTTATCTGTCGGCTCATCTTCAGTCATTTTTTCAACGCCGTAAGGTTGCCTCTCTGTGTCTTTTCTATAAATACTTTCATTGTAATTGTTTGGATTAGCTCTTCATTATGGTATCTAGACTGTATGAATTTAAGCGCAATACTAGACAGGCGTCGAGATCTTATTAATTTACTGTTGAGTTGGCTAGAACAGCCGTAAATTCTATACTAACAGTTCCTTTTCTTCCACTTGCCGCTTATGGAACTCCCTTCCGGCTGCATGCTTTCCAGCTAACTTTAATCTGCAAAAATTTAAATGCAATCTCAATCGCTATCCACTGTCCTCTTGTTTACTCTCTCCTCTTCCCTATCATTATTAATGTTAATTCTTTCACATCCTGTAACTCCTTGCGTCTTAGTGGCTTTATTACTTTTCATGGGGTGATACCGATTTAACAAAATGCCGACACTATAAGTTTGCTCATTATTGCCCTAAGGCAAGCAACCAACACATTTGCCTAGCTTCAATTCTACAATGCCACAAATGTGAATTACACATTGAAAAGATAGCAAGAGAATGTGCTTCCTAAGGAATCAGCTAATTTTGATACAAGGCCATGGAACTCGAGCGCCAAGCTAAGATTAAACTCAGTAGATTTTAATGGACAATTTAACTATCAGTCTAAGGTAAAGGTCCGAGATATTTACGTAACTTGTATAAATATCAGGAAGAATGAATTCTCAGCTTTTTTTTTATATGCCGTGTCCCTTCAGGATTTGAACGATTATGATTCTCTACAGTTTTCTGTCCTTTGCCACTCTAAGCAATGTTTGCCTCCTTTTTATCCTTCCCAGTCTCTGCAATATCACTCATTTCCTTAAGCACTTTTGGTAGGTTAATTGCCGTTTCCACCTGTTCTTCTTGCCTTCAATATGTCCTGTGAGTGTCAAATTCTCCAAGCCCTATTTCCTTATTATGTGTGCCAAAACATCTTCATTGATAACCTGTTCACCCAGTGGGAGTCTCCGGATTATCTCTATTGAGGAAATTTCCCAGCATTCACTGCCTCATACGAGGATAGATAACTTTGTTTCTCATTCCATCTTCCTGTTACTTAATACTTTCGAAGGCGTCTTTTACGATTCCAACGCGACTTTGGATTTCGGTGACACGTTTTCCGTCGTCTGTTAAAACATTTCGCAGATATTTAAATTTCTCTACTTGATTGCTTTTTAACGTTTTGAATTTCTAGATCGCATCCTTGAGCTGTTTCTCTTGCAAACGACCAGGCATTCTGTCTTCTTATCACTTAGTCCTTTCTTCCCGCTTTCCTTTAATACATTGTCTCGCAGTTTCCATTTTGAGTCTGCCATCAACAGAGTCTCATCTTTGTATTTTATGTTAAGGTCGTGTTCGCTAATAATAAATCCTGAGAAGATGGATTGAGATGGCGAAGAATGCATTCCAGAAGATAGGCAGAGTACTGCGAAACGGGAGGATTTGCTATGCTGGCAAAGAAAAGAGTACTGAGCTGCTACGTGACATCTGTCCTCCTATAAGGCAGCGAATGTTGGACGGTATCCTCAAGGATGAAGAAGAGACTCAAGGCGGTGGAGATGTGGTTCTACAGAAGGATGCTAAGGATATCATGGACCGAGCATGTGAGCAACGATGAGGTCTTGGAGAGGATGCAAACAAGGAGGAAGCTTATCCTTAAGATAAGACAGAGGCAGATGAAATTTCTGGGACACGTGATGAGAAAGGAGGGTTTGGAGAATCTGATACTCACGGGACGAATAGCGGGAAAAAGAGACGGGGGGGAAGCAGCGCATGACATACGTAGGTGGATGGCGGTGCATGGTCTGGTGGGAGTTGGCAGAAACACAAAACCTGTTGAGAGTCACAAGGGATAGGGAGAAGTGGAGGGCCATGATCGCTAACGTCCCGAAAGGGCACGGCACATAAAAAGAAGTCCTCCTCGTTCTCTTAGCATCCTCTCGCTGAACAGATTGAATAAATCCGACCTGAAGATGAATCGCTGTGTAACTTCTCTTTCTATAATCATGTGCCTTTACAGCTCATTTTCTATCCACATGTAGGCGTTTTATTTTACATACGAAGGTACGGTTGGTTTAACGGTTAACAATAACGGAAATGGTGCTGGCGAACTGAGTTCAAACTCTGACTGAAAGTGTTCACTTCGTATCAGAATATTTAGAAAAACATTAACTCACTCCTTCCTATATTATGATGATTATTTCTTGTTACTGCTGCTATTTTATCTGATACTACGAGTCATATGATAGATAGAGAGAAGATGGGTGCCGCTCGAATAGCTTTAGAAATACTAACCGAATGGTCCACTAACAATGTTTAATTTAACTTTTAAATAAACACAAAACGGTATAATGTCAAATAAAATGAAAAGTGTGGGTTATGATAATCTTTAAATTAGGGAGACTCTGCCTGCTTTGAAAATCAGCATTCGATTTTCACTTGGGCTCTAATAGCGACCACCAGCAGCGGAGATTATTTATTGATATGTACCGGAAAGGGATATATTTGTTCGAAGTAGCAAAGTGGTTTTGGACTACTGTAACCGAGGAGGAGAAACTAGCAGGTAACCGTAATGGACTGGTCCTCATCGTAATGGTAGGCAATAGGCGTAGACAATAGGCGTAGTCCATGTACCTCCACATCAGTCTGTATTTATGGCTGACACCAGCCAATCATATTACTGTGAGGGGGATCCAAGGTGTATGCATATTCGTTACATCATTTATATAACTATTTCAACATTCAAACTAATTTTAGTCTGGCACAAGGCCATAAGTATAGAGTACCTGTACCAGCTTTTAACGTTTTACTTGACGTTGATAAATGTTAAGCTATGTTGAATCAAATACTGAAGCTTTCGTAACCAGATCTTTGCTCCTATTTTTTGTGTGGGGGGGGAGGTTCTGATATGACAATTTTTCAATGTCTATCGGCGTAAAATGTGGAAACGTCTTTCCCCCTCCAAATTGTCAGCGTTCAAAGAATGTATAAACACAGAAAAGCCGAGACAATTAAGAGGGAAGAATTGAAATTCGCTTTGAACCCTGTCTACTTTCCCAACCGCCTTCCTTCGCACAGAGCCGTAACATGTTTCCATCTCTGCCTATTTGTGATTACAAAGTCTTTCGTTTCCATTTTAGGCAAATATAAAAGTGGGCAATAAAATTTTATCACATTTCTTGACGACGTCAATGTCAGGAGGACTTAAGTATCAAAGAACATAAAAACAAGGCAAAAATCTCGAAGACATTTTGGTTGTTGTTCCATTCAATTTCTTCGCAGCACTTGCGACGACAGAAATATCAAGAGGAGACTCGTGTTTGACGTCACCGACAAAAGCTATCACCGGACAGGAGACAGAGGAAACCCGCTCCGATAAACGAAACGAAGATAAATCTCATCGCTTTGATTAAACCAACTTTAAATCTTAAAAGAAAACAAAAAGTTTGGAAATTTTCTGTGGGAAATGTCTACAATTGTAATTAATCCAACAATTTGTAAATGATTGCTGTGTGGGCTTCCTTATCAAAAAGACAAAAAAAAAATTGAATGACAGGAGAAAAATAAACAACCGTTTTTTTAACCGAACTGTTAGGTAATTAAAGAATGAATTATTTTCCCATCAGTTATAGAGGTTTGTGTTCGGGTCCTTGTAAAGGACAGTATTTTGAATGTTCATTTTCAAAGGCAACCACAACTTCTTAATTAGTGGGACGAAGTCACAAGTCATCGTGGCTGAATGTTCCAACGTAATGGCCTTGTTCCCGTCGAATTATACGTATCATTGATTGTTTGAGTGAAGTATAAATACAGGCTGTCCATAAAGGTCGTGTGCACTTTTAAAAATTTATAAATTTATTTGTATTTAGGATAGAAATAATTTGTAAAAAGGATTAGAAAGAAGTAAATCTATATTTTTTAAAGGTTTTATTGAAATTTTATTTAAGTTTCCACATGTCCTCCATCATTAGCAATACAAAGGGTAATGCGATTTTGCAGTTCACGGAAAACATTTGCCAACTGATTTACAGTAATGCCTGAAATCACATTAGTTATTTTAGCTATACTTAAAACTAGGTACATTAAACTTTATAGCATTTTTTACAGATTATTTCTATCGCAAATACAAATAAAGTTATAATTTTTTAAAGTGCACACGAACTTTATGGCCACCCTTTATGTCTGATCAGCAGGAATTAGAAGATAAGCAAAAGGTAACGAGCAGCCAGCCATTAAATATTAACTATAGAGATGACCTAGTTATCACCACAGACACCATTACCAATATCACAGTTCTCCTACATCATCTAGAAAAGGCTGTCAACGGTGTTGGACTATGTCAATGCTTCTAATATTGAATTCATAGCCTTCAACCAGCAAGGCTCAATACAAACTTTCTCAGGTGAATTAAAAAAATATGTCGAATCTTTTACATACCTAGGAAGCGAGATAAATTCTACTGAAAAGGATGCGAAAATTCGCATTGCTAAAACCTGGGCCACCTTGAATAAAATGGATGTAATCTGGAAATTTCATCTACTGGACAATTTTTGACGGAGATTTTGTTCGCGCCATTGCAAAGTCGGTTTTAATGTATGGCGCCACTGCCTGGACATTAACTAAATCCCTACAGTCTATGCTTCATGGTACTTACATTCGGATGCTGGAAGCTATACTTAACATCTCTTGGCGACAACATCCAACTAAATTACAGTTCTATGAACCCATCCCTGATCTTTAGACAATCTTACGCGAACGCAGAATGCCGATTCTAGGACACTTCTGGAGAGCAAAGCAAGAATTCACGAGTGATCTACTGCTCTCGACACCTAGCCATGGAGGAAGATGAGTTGGTCGCCCAGCAACGACCCACATTGACCAGCTATGTTATGACACAGAATGACGCCATAATGGCCTTCCAACCTTGACGCAGAATACCCCAGCTAACTCGAATGAATAAGGCAATAAATCCATTATGATGCGTGTGAAAGAATATGAGAAAAATGAAAAATTTACGAATGAGCATTATTTACATTATTCGGACTATCATCATCTCATCTTTGTCGCCATATTTATTACAGCATTTCGGCCGTTGTACTCTCCGGGTTTCTTTAGTTGGTTAGAATGTCGAACTGAACCCTTTTTTTCGCTCACTGGGGTAGACTGTTCTAGTTCCACGTGCCATGTTTTAATGGATGTCAGTTATCAGTTATCAATTATCTCCTGTTAATTTCCCTCTGAAAGTTCTCCGCTGCCTTAACCGAATATTGAACTCATATATATATATATATATATATATATATATATATATATATATATATATATATATATTCATTGATGCATGCCTCATTAAATACTATAAACTACTTTTGTCTATTTATTTTAAGTAAGTTCCTTTCATATTGTCTGATAAGCAATAACATTATCATTGAAGGACGCAAGGAAATCACCATATTGATACATGATTAAATCCAATCTAAAAATGTTATATTATTTAATGAAACATGCATCAATGAAAAATTGCTGCCTATATATATATATATATATATATATATATATATATATATATATATATATATATATATGGGCCACTAGTAATATTGACGATGCGGTTAAGAATTTTTGGTGCGAATGTAATTATGACCGAGTAATGCGTAAAAGTCTATATTCTTCCTCATAATCTATCGCGTCGAGTGAAGTGATTTATTGGTAAGATAACACTCAATACGACTGAGAATAGGGAGAAGTTGATTCATGCCTTTCGCTTAACTATTAGTATCAAGTGCAATTAATCCGTCTAGTTCCAGATTTCCCGATTTTGTGTCTGTTCGCAATGATATTGATAATTCTGATGCTTTATTAGATTTTAGGGAGTTGGCCAAACCAGGAACATTTTAACCCCTAATCCCCTTTCATATATAGTAAAAACATTTCCTCCGCCATTATTTATCTTGTTTTTCGGTTTCATCTTCATGCTATCGATGTTTGCGTGGTTTGCTTTTGCCTTGGGTGGAGCCCAACTTTACGATTTTTATTTCAGGAACAAGATATTTCAAACGGGAAATAAGAAATACGGCTTTGACGACGTGTTTGATATCAAATTCTGTGATGCAGGCGAGTTTGCTGATAATCAAGACAAAGCTTATTTGTGTCAATTGGTCAGCTTCACTAAGTGGACTGACGAAAAGTTCTCGGTCCAACAAAGATGACTTTTCAGATAAAATTGTTGTTTGATCATTTGGGCAGATTTTACGAAGTTAGTCGGAAGTTTTCGACACCCCCTCATATAAAAATATTTGTAAGAAACAAATACTTAAAGAGGATATACACATCAAATATACATAAAACAAATATATATATAGGTCAGTACTTATATGGGGGACCGCTTGGGAACACCTGGTCCAAAGTCCAACCCTTACCTCACAGTCGGGGGGGGGGGTAAACGGTAGTGCCAGAGCTATGCCGCCCGGAACTTCGTTCCTGGTAGGGCCACCCAAGGCGGACAGGTCTGACACACACGCCGGCTAACAAGGGCTCTGGTGAAAATCCAGGGAGCATCTGCATCGGTAACCGGCGGCTTCTGGTCGTTCCTGTCTCTGCGTCTGTGGGAACCCCGCGGCAAGCAAGAACGTTATCCGAGTAGGCCTGGGTACCCTACTTCTGTAATTTATCCCAAGAATCTTCTTCTCATAACAGGAAGAAGCCGGCTCAATCCGCCCAGGGTGAATGCCGAATCAGTACAGTATATATATGAATTACATGAATCATTCATACAAAAAGTAGATTAGTAAAGTTAATGATATAAATGGCAAAAAAACATCCTCGCAAACAAATTTATTAAAGTTACATTAACCTACGAACCACTCGATGAATGTTATGATCCTTGTTTTTAATAACAACTTGTATAAGGTCTTTTGTTATTCTGCTAGTACTTTTATATAGTATATTTCAATTCGCACTTAATTTTTAGTGTCCGCTATTACCTGCATCTACTAAACAAACAAAATAATATCCATGCCAGAGGATGGCTGTATGTACTGGCAAACTATGGAAGATGCTAAGTGATGTAATTTAAAGCTGGTAAAATAGTTTACATTTTCTCTTTATTTATATTGTCATTGTTACAAATATATTTTCATAGATAGATAGATAGATGTGAAAAAACTGATAGATAGATAGATAGATAGATAGATAGATAGATAGATAGATATGAAACGACTAAGATAAAAGTAAGTTCCACTCGTTCAGATACTCCCCAAGACCTGCTGTTTTGTGAAACAAACTCCCGCGGGGATGTTTTCCCGATTACTACAATATCAAGCTCTTCAAGTCTAGGGTTAAACGTTATCTTTCCTACATAACCGCATGATTTGCAAATCATATTGCGATCATACCACACAACACACTAACACTCTACCTTAAGTTGCTCTTGGGCCTTGTATTGGGTGAACATTAGTATATAAAAAAAAAAGATGGAAATCGAAAATACCAAATGTTTCTTTCTCTTTATTTTACAAAAGATCTCCCTGATATGATACAGTCAAAATGCAAGCGCCATTCTTAGAACGAACCATTTTCTTCCAGTCAGTTTCCTTCCCTTCAAGTGGCAAGGCACATTACCGAACTGGAGTGTCTCGATTCACAGCATTCTTTCCTGGAAGGCATCAGCGAAAGACACAGCGAATGAAATATTACCGTTTAAGATGACAGCGGAGAACTTAGAAAGAAATACTTTCTTGATTTTTTTTTTCTTTCTTTCATTATGAGCACCATCTTAGTTCGGGGTTGTATTACTAAGGGAAATAACACATACTGGAACTCTTCATTTATACCCTTTTACTTACACAGGCAGAATTGCATATACGTAGCTAGGCAAACTGGTTAATTAAGTCTCCGAATAAATGACTTTCGAAGAATTACGGCTAAAATGCCTGGATGTCATTTGATTATTTTTCTACCGTCATTCTGGATGCTCTCCGTGTATTTAGTCGGCATTTGAAAAGAAAAAAAGTCGCTTTTGATTAACGTGTTTGAATTTGTTGTTTTATGTCTGTTTTGTTTTTACTTGGAGTTTATAACTCAGTCTCATAAGCCGGAAAATAAGGATTCAATAAAATGCGATAGATAGATAGATAGATAGATAGATAGATAGATAGATAGATAGATAGATATGAATAGACTGGGATAGATAGATAGATAGATAGATAGATAGATAGATAGATAGATATTAACAGACTGAAATAAATGCACCAGTTCTTGTTACTGAGAACACAAAACAATGTTTGAATTTTACTCGACTTTTTATTGCTGTTGAGTGCGACTGAGAATTCCGAAGAAAAAGTGATTTTGATTTTTTTTTAAATCCTGGCAGAATATCAAATGCACGTTCAGTACTGTTCATTCTTCCTGTTTAATGCGGTAAAAATGAAATGGAAACTCTGTACTGAGTCGCAGAGCCGTGTGGCTATGATCCGGTAAATACATTTATGTGTTGGGAATGATTTGAGACTTTCAAACAAGAGCAAAATTTTAATTCAAGGACAAAGAGCATTAGTAAACCTTAGAAATGATGAGTTTGGAGAAAGTTTGTAGCAATAATCACTAAATCCAATTAGGGTATATTAAGTCGGTTTGTTTAACTTAATTTGAATAAAAAAGATCTTTGACTTGGTTGACAATACGACAGGTGCCCTTTTTCGTATTATAAAGTCTGTTTCTGTGTTGTAAATACGTCAGAGAAAATGTTAATGTGCCACATGTTCTTCAGACCTGTCACTTTCAGAATTTGCCTTGATTTGATTCTAAGAACCGTTATTTTCCCCAACTGAAGGCTCCGATTATTTCAAGATATTTCGTCAAAAGATTCATCGAATCAGAAGTGGAATCAGTCATTTGTGGTGGAATGGAATATACAATTTTTTTGAGAATGGTTGCGTCACCGGGCAAAATACCTTATTGACTGAATAATCATGATGGCAATTGTACTTAATATAAAATATATTTTCAAAAGTACACACAAACGTGAATATATATATATATATATATATATATATATATATATATATATATATATATATGTCCGAATGATAGAAAGAACTTTTTACTTTTTAAAATGTGCTCAATACAAAGTACAGAAATATATTTTCAACAATCATCAACGAAGGTCTGTCTATGTTCCGGTTTATCATGACATGAAAAAATAACTCACCAACCTCCACCCTCTGAGCTTACTTTTCTAACATTTAACTGGTTAACCAAGACATACCCACAAGTATATTTTTAATTATGACCTTAGGTTTCCTCCCACTTAACTTTCGAAGAAGTAAAACTTCGTTTTTAAATTTCCTTAAAAATCATTTAATCACCAGTTACTTACCATCGCCTGAAAAAGTACAATCATGGTATTGAAACATGAAATCTTTTGTGTAGCGATTTCAACATGTTTTCTTATAATCTCCTACAATAAAAATTATATATATATATATGTGTGTGTGTGTGTGTGTGTGTGTGTGTGTGTGTGTGTGTTGAATATGACCTTTTAATAATAGGCTTGTCACAAAATAATTCACTCATCCAACAAGACAACATTTAACAACCCGAACATTCAACAACCAGATCTTTTATCTGTCAAAACAACCAAACTTTTCGATTATAAATCCTTATATATTTATGTATAAATGTCTCCCTCTATATTTTTACTAACCACAAAACCAAGAGTTTTATAAGACTTGCCATAACAGATGTAATAATAAAACCCCTAACCCCTGCCATAACAGCAGTACAATTTAGGGCAGTTGTTATTAATTTCACCGTTTAACAAAATGAAAAAAAAATGTTTAGAACCTTTAAAAATTACTACAAAGGCAGCAATCCTTCATTCCTACATGTTTCATTAAAGACGACAGACAAGGTACTATGATTAAGCTTTTTTATTTAATTTTTCTTGTGTTCGATCAAGTGTTTTCTTTTCTCGGCGCAGAGTGTGTAGAAACTGTCCAAATGTTCTGTAATTCCGAGCACTTTCGGCTATACTTTTAACCGTTATCAAGGATGATTTTATTTTTTATTTTTAACTGAATGTATGTGTATGTATCTAGAGTTTAACTTCCCGAATACAACACATTTTGGCCGTGTTTGTAGTTGATATTATTGTTGGCTTTTTCTTTTTTATTATTAAGGCTTCCAAAATTTTTAATCTTTTTTACATATAGATGAGGTTATTATGTTTGTATTTTCTATTTGGTAAGTTTGTGTGTTTAAATTGATTCTAATAGAGCTGTGGTCGAATAGATGTAATGTAGGGCGTCTGGATAGGCATGTAGTTGTGTGACCAATGTAATTATTTATGAATTTGGTTTTTCTAGAAAACACTTGTTCGAACAAAAAAAAATTAAATAAAAACCTTAATCGTAATACTTTGTCTGTCGTCTTTACTGAAACGCGCACACACACACACACAGATGTCATCTACAGACAGACTGTTTTGCTGTATCACAGCTCATCAGTGTGAATAGACATCCGATTGCCGCAAGCCGGAATCGAAACCCAACTGATTTGGCATCACCACACGGTGGAGAGGAAGGCAAATTATACGTACCTATTCTTCGAACAATGACCGCTAGGGCTCAATTTGTAGAAGAGCTTTGCTCTATTAGCAGTAGTAGTCATTGTTTACAAATTCGCGCTTTCTCTCAAGAGTGCTCGACCGGAATTGAATTTTCCGGGGGCGTGTATATATATATATATATATATATATATATATATATTTTTGTGTGTGTGGTGTGTGTGTGTGTGCGCGCGTGTGTTTGATGTTGCGTTTTTCACATCTGCTGAGCAATATCATGAGAAACTTTTATTACTATTTAATTTTAAATATTAACCTTAAGAAAGATGTTCTATAATTTTCATTCGTGTAATTTCTTGCCAAATTCTTAAGCCTTCCTGGATTTGTTCAGAAGTTTGAATCAGCAAAAAGGGTTCAGAATTGCTAGCATAAGTTTCTTTCCTTTGTGGTGGGGTCGGAGGTTTCTTCTCCCAGAACATTATATTTAATAATTCTCGATTCTCGATAAAGTTAGACGGGTTGACGATCTATTAACCCCTGCCTTTCAACGGCTCAACAGCTACAACAGAACCAAATAAAGATGGCCAATCCCTTTCAAGGGCGTCAAGTTTGAAACGAAGAGAGGTGGGATTGTTTTCAAGTGGTTCATGGGTCAAGTACTTCAAGAATGAGTGATGAAGGAAATGTAAGTTCTCCTACGGCATATAATAATCCATTTCATCCTTAGAATCGGTGAGGTACGGAAATTAGGATCACGTGATCACAAATCCCACAGTCGAGGCAAATTAGTGAAATTAGATAGATAGATAGATAGATAGATAGATAGATAGATAGATAGATAGATAGATAGATAGATAGATAGATAGATAGATAATGGTCACACCCGTTTAAGTAGACATCCTTGTTTGCATCACTATTTACAAATTGTGAAATAACCATCTAATGACGGTGTAGGTCATCGATCATCTTATTGACGAGAATGTATCTCCCGACAGGAAGCAAACCTGCATTACACATTTTTTAAAACCAACTTAGCCAGGAGTACCATTACAATTTCGACCATAGACATTCTTTAGGTAATTCAAAGCTCCCTTAACCTTTTTAAAAGAAAATGTTCTTTTCTTTGAATTTGTGCCGTGTCTGATCAGATGCACCTACAAATATATCTAGAGGTTCTTGACAAAGAAAGGCCTGTAATGTAACCTGTCATCTCGACTTGAGTCACTTTCCCACCTATACGACATGGCTCCCCCTCAGTTTTTCATGGGAATTGTTCATTCTTCCTTGGTGTCTCGACTGCATGAATCTAAGCGTGTTACTAGATTGGCAATTAGGTCTCACTGTTTTCCTGTTGAACTAGCAGCCAGATGCAACCTTATGTTCTACTCGAATAGTTTTTCTCTCGCACTTTTCGCCTGTGGAATTCTCTACAGAGTTCTTGTTTCTCTGCCGCCTAAGATCTTCAAATATTTATAAGCAACATCAATCGCCATCTTCTCTCTTCCTGAAAACTTCTTTTATTGCCTTTCTCATCACTGATAAATACATACATACAAGACAGACTTAGATAGATAGATAGATAGATAGATAGATAGATAGATAGATAGATATGAACAAATAGATAGATAGATATGAACAAATAGATAGATAGATAGATAGATAGATAGATAGATAGATAGATAGATAGATAGATATGAACAGACCAAGATAGATAGATAGATATGAACAATTAGATAGATAGATAGAGAGATAGATAGATAGATAGATAGATAAGAACAGACTTAGTGTGCGACATGAACGTGTACCTTTAAACATTAACCAGGGACCTACACCTCTCTGTGACTTTGTTATTGTCTTTCATTGAATTTCCGTGCTTTTTGGAGATCTGATCAGCCATTTTGTCTTTCAACACACAGAAGCTCATGTGGCTATCTTTTGACAGGCATTGATCTTTTGCTTGAAAATCTTTAGAGTGAGGAAAAGCCTTGCATGGGACACAGATTCCACGGTCGAAGTCACGACAGCTCTTTATTTAAGAACAACTTGTCTATATAATGAGATGCAACGAAAAACATGGATTTTTTATATCTTTTTTTCTTCAAAGACTCGTGGTCACTCTTTGCCACTGAGTTAAGCAGTTCAGAGATCAATAAATGGGACGCTAAATGGATGCCACCATTCAGTGCCAGAGTGCCGCTGCGAGAAATGGCAAAGATTGAGTGATACAACACACTCCCCACAAGTCCCGAGCTGAAGCTTCTGCACTGGCATAAGTTTGATGTCATGACAAAGACAACATGCTTAAATGCAGATGCGCATGCGTACATCTGATTCGGCTGAAGAGAAGCTGGCGAATGACTTTCAACAAAGACAGAGAAGCGCTGACTACCAGCAAAACATAAAAAGAAATGCATTTATTTGTGTATCAAGCATCTATTCTCGTCGAACTGAAACGAAGACAAATTTAACAATCACAGACACACTATCGCATCTTGTAGTCACGAGCATTAAATGGGCATATATATATATATATATATATATATAGAGAGAGAGAGAGAGAGAAAGAGTGAGAGAGCGGAGTGAGGGAGAACTGTAAGGAGAGGAGAGTATACATGGAAACAAAGGTGTGTGTTTGTTCCATAAATACGCATGCTGGTGAGTTTGGCTCGTCGAGAGATATCTGACCTTGGCATCCCCACAGAGAGAGACAAATGTAAGAGTTGCAAGATCCTCCAATTTTAACCTAAGTGCTTCAATATGCACACATCTTTTTAACTTCAGCGTTATTTTCATCTGCTATTTTCTCGGTCCTACCTTTCCCCCCTCTCTCTCTCTCTCTGTCTCTCTCTCTCTCTCTCTCTCTCTCTCTCTATATATATATATATATATATATATATATATATATATATATATTCAGATGGAGTATATCTATAAAAAATCATATATGAATAAAGACAAAAGGAGAAAACTTATCTTAGCCGATGCCTTTCTTCCTCTGTTGGATTTTATTAAGGCAAATGAAAGGATTTTATTTTGTAACAAGTATTTATATACAAGAGTTAAAATGTTATTGGTTTTTCAAAAGTTTTAAATTAAAGAACGCTCACAAATATTCCTCTGGCTAATTTATCGGATCTTATCAAAATATAAATGTGCCACCCGGATTTTTTTCCAATATCTCTCTTCCATACATGTCTATAAAAACGTTAAGAAATTTTTTTTTAAATTTAAAAAAAAAAAATACGGTTAAATCCATAAACGCTTGTTTTTTTGTTTTTTGTTTTTTCTTGTTTCTTTTTTTTAGATATAAACACATAATCCGAAATTAAAATAATTTAAGTACTAATTAGCATTTTAAAAAAAAAATCATTATTTACTCACTTTCGTCTATTAGACATTAAATTGTGTCACTTGACGTCCTTCATAGATTGCCTAGACTTTTCGGCTAACATGATGAATATTTATGAGCAATCTTAAATTTAAAAAATATTTAATTTAATTTCATTACAAACATCAAATGGCATTTTCTCAACTTTATTTTAACATTTCTTCTTTTTTATGAATATCAACTTTCAAATTAAAAATAGATCAGAACTGACGACTTTTGCATCATGCAAAATTATCAGATTGTGTTGCATTTAAAGAGGAGATGAACATTGTCAAAAAAAACCTTATTGCTATCAGAAATACAGGATTTGTCTATTTACAAACTGGGTATACATCTTCGGGTATTTTGAATATATATATATATATATATATATATATATATATATATATATATATATATGAGAGAGAGAGAGAAAGAGAGTGAAGTAAAAAAGCGAAAAAGAGCGAAGAGACATAATCTGTCATAGATTATTTACAATAGCATCTATCACTGGTTGACATCTAAAAAAAAAGGATTCAATGATCGTGTAACGTTATTTTTCTTTCTTTATTTATAATTACATATATGTATATTTAAGCAGCATACCTTCATTCAAACATGTTTCATTGAATAATATAGGCATATTGTGCCTATTTTTATATAAATCCATTCTAGGTCTCAAATTGTTTTTTCGAAGTTAAGATAAAATTCATCATGAAAGACACCGTAGTTTTTTCTTACCCAAGTACTTTCGATCTCCTCCGAGATCATCATCAGGGGTAAATAACAAAGAAAAACTGTGATAAAATCTGCATTTCACTGTGATGATGATTTTAAAAAAACACGCGTGAATGCGCTGTGAAAATTATTTTAGCATTTTTAATTTATCCGTCGTAACTTTTGACAACATGCAAAATAGTATTGAGTGTTTGTTAATATGCACTTCAACACATTGCTGCTACACTCGTAATAAATGTTGTTGAGTGTTGGTTGGTTGCTTTTGATATAGAGGCCATAAGAATTTGAAGTTTTTGTTTATTATTTTCGTGGTGGATTATATTGGTGCTGCCAACAAGTATTTCTTCTATTGTGACGGTAGATAGAAATGTCCACACACACATATATATATATATATATATATATATATATATATATATATATATATATATATATATATATATATAAATATATATATATATATATATATGTATATATATATAACTGTTAAATATAACCGTCTCTTCTACTCCAATAGCTTCATTTCTCGCACCTCTCGCCTGTGGAACTCCCTCCCCTTTTCCTGTTTCCCTGATAGCTATAATCTCCAACTATTCAAATGTAATGTCAATCAACATCTCCAGATGCCTTGATCTATCCCCTATCCTTTTCTTCATCCTTTCCTCTATCACTCCTATTTGCTCTCTCTCCAACTTTCTGTAACCCCTTGCGTACTAGTGGCTTAAAATGCTTAAAATATATATATACATATGTGTGTGTGTGTGTGTGTGTGTGTGTGTGTGTGTGTGTGTGTGTGTGTGTGTGTGTGTGTGTGTGTTGTAATAATTGCAATTTAATGTTCATTTACCTTATCGATATTCTTAGTTTTCGAAGACTACTTCTCTTCGCCTGGAGGGTTGATTGTAAAACTGAATTTATTGAGTTAAATCGTCATTTATAGAAAAATAGAATATCTTTAAATAAATTCAGTCTTACAATAATTATCCCCTGAGGAGTGGATGTAATCTCCGGAAATTCAAAAAAGAGATAAGATAAGGGAACCTTTAATTTTATGTATCATTATTAATGTTCTATGTCATGATATTGAGCTCAATAATTATTAATGTTTGTTTCCATTAAAAAGGTTATCTTCCAGAAAGACCCTGGTCGAACGTGTTTCGGTTTTATATTTTACTTTTATTTTACACACACACACACACACACACACACAGAGAGAGAGAGAGAGAGAGAGACACACCCAATTTATGAGAATACCTAAAGTGACATAAACCATTGGATAAAAATGATCAACATGCTTGTCACACAGATGATTGAAAACGATTTAATTTCTAAGTTGGTGCTCGACAGAGGAAGTTTTATCATGAACAGCCTTAGATAGATATGTACTGCTTTAGATAGATAGATAGATAGATAGATAGATAGATAGATAGATAGATAGATAGATAGATAAGAACTGCTTCAGATAGATACATACATGCATACATATGACCTGCTTTAGATAGATACATACATACATAGATATGAACTTCTTTAGATAGATAGATAGATAGATAGATATAAAATGCCTTAGATAGATAGATAGATAGATAGATAGATAGATAGATAGATAGATAGATAGATCTGAACTGATTTAGATAGATGCATACATACATACATATATACATAGATATGAACTGCTTTAGATAGATACATACATAGATAGATATGAACTGCTATAGATAGAGAGATAGGTAGATATGAACTGCTTTAAATATATAGATACATAGATGGATACATACATACATAGATATGTACTGCTTTAGATAGATAGATAGATAGATAGATAGATAGATAGATAATGAACTGCTTTAGATAGATAGATAGATAGATAGATAGATAGATAGATAGATAGATAGATAGATAGATAGATAGATAGATAGTGAACTGCTTTAGATAGATAGATATATTCTAAAAGAATGGTATTTGGTGGGTTCCATGAAAAAAATCTCATTTTTTCGTCTTGAATGTAGGCATAAAGAATGCGAAGTGGGGGAAGTGGCAAAAGTTACCAAGAGATCGTGAGAGAGTAAGTGAGAGAGATAGAGTGTGTGTGTTATCGTAGAAAGCATGAGAAGGCAAGCAATCAACACGCGATTGAATGACGTCATCATTAGTCTCCTCCTCCTCCTCCACTTTCTATTTTCGCGCCATTCGCAACTGTCGAATGGAAGATGCTTCCACTGACTTCATACAACGTTGGCACCCATCCCAGCACTCTGACAGCCTCCCGCTAACCGAACTTGACGGCGGGCAGATTACCTCCTCGTGCACTCACGTATGCAACCATTCAAATTCATTCATACTTACCTACTTTTATATACGATACGTGCAGCATGAATACCAGTTCACGAAGCTCCACTGTCCGCTCCGTGCATTCGTCGATATCACAAAAGCCAATTGACTAGCGATTTCACGTTAAATTTGATAAATTTTAATAGCGTTATCTTTTCCCTTAAACGCATAATTTTATTGACCTTTTATGCGTAAGATGTGGGCGCACATCAAATAAATCTACTTTTATTTATTTAATTCGAAAATCAATGCCAGCAGTTTTGATAAATGTTGTGGAAGTGTCCATGCCTTGCCAGTGTGACGTCATCATGAACCGTCTGAAATAAATAATGAACAAACAAGCAAATATACGAATAATGTATATTAGAACAATTTGAATAATAATAATAATAATATATAATATATATATATATATATATATATATATATATATATATATATATATATATATATATATATGTCTCTGTGTGTGTTTGTGTACAGTGTCTCGTACCATTAGCTATCTCATATTTTATAGATATATAAAATAAATATTTATTGAAGCCTAAAGTATGATTTGCTGAATGATTGCAATGTCTATATGAGCATTTAGAACGAATGTTGGTTCGTTCTACTCAAAGATAAAAAAAAATCAAACATTTGTATGTCATGTCCAGAATTTCGAAGTTATAACATGGGGTTCTTTACTAAATGCCAACTCACAGTACAACTCATGCTCAAATTTCGTCGGTTCTACTGGGAACGAAGATTTTTAGTCTGTGGTTAAAGAAATTGTTTTTCTTATGCACGTCGGGGGTCACCGAAAATGTTCAGTCACATCACAGCAACAGAAATTAGCTTCGTGCTCACGGCGATAAAAGCATACTTGACAGGAAATAAAACGGACACAAATAACAGGAAAAGAATGGTAAATTGTTTTTTACTTTCATACAATTTATTTATATTTTTCTTATGTGAATTTGGTGTGTGTATATATTAGTTTACAATTGTTTTTGGTACATGTGATAAAAGGGGGACATTACTCAGTATTATTACAAGCTATATCACAGTGAGAAGTTAGACACGTGTTACCCGTACCAAGGTTGGTAGCGAAGAGGTTGAATTTAACGTCTATTGGCGAGATGTCCGTATTTCCGGCAAGAACAATTTTGTTGCATGCTAGAAGTTTTTTTTTTTCTTATTTAATTTGATTTATTTTATACCACTTTTTTTTATTGTTTTATTTTATTTATAACTTTCGTTATTATTATCATTTTATTTTTATTTATTTATAACAATAATGTCCCTACAAGTCTCGGTTTGAGTTTGCGGTAGTTCATGGCTGAGGTCGGCTTAAGGAATTCAAAGAAAAAAATCAAGATTAAGATTATGATTAATTTGGCTTGAAAAGTTAATCCTTTTTAGCTTAGTATATTTTTTCTTTAATCAAATCTTATTACAATTAATATATAATTTGGCAGAGTTTCAGAACCATCCCTTCCCACCTCGTTAACAAGGGAGAAGGAAATTTTACATGCATTTTAATCTTTGAATTAATTATCAATGTTGATTTAATCATCACATTAACTTTACATTACAACGTTCTTAATAAATGATTTTACATTAATATTTGTAGCAGAAAATATCACGTTTCCCTTTCTTTTGTTTGTTAACCGTAAACGAAACTAAAATTCATCCTTTTTTAAATACTTTTTAGAATGAAAAGTCAAATTTTATCATTAATATGTAATAATAATATAAAAGAGAAAAATATTAAATTAATTTTATGCAACAAGTAAAAGCATTTTTAAATACATTTTACAGTGTATAAACAGAATTAATGTCTTCGGAAGAAAAGTCGGTTAAAAATTAAACAAAACTTTATTAAAATTAACTTTCTTGGAAGTAACTACATTTTGTATTAAGGAAGATTAGAAAAAACATCAGATTAATAAATTATTTCTTTAATCAATTAAAATTAAAATGTTACATTTTTATATAAGAAAGATGGTAAAAATTTAGTGTATTTGCTTTTATGAAGAAAAATTTCATAGCGAGAAATACTAAATTAATTTACTTTGATGTAAAAATGTTAAATTACCTTCCAAGTAACAAGACCATGTTTCCTCGATTACATTTTTAGTGAATTCAGCACAAAAATGTTTTTTGCAATATGAGAACCTGAAATAATATGCGGGTAATGATAGTATTTCAGATTATTCTAAAGGTTATTGGGTGGAAATGCGGTTAGGTTTGGTTTGTTTCACTACATATGATCCTCAATGGGTTATTTAATGCCGACAAGATTTTTATTGCTGATACTATTTTTTCCCAAAAATCTATTGCTGGTAATATTTTTTCCAAAAATCTATTGCTGGTAATATTTTATTCCAAAAATCTATACCTGGTAATATTTTTTTCCAAATATGTATTGCCAGTAATATTTTTTCTAGAAATCTATTGCTGGTAATATTTTTTTCCAAAAATATATTGCTGGTAATAATTTTTCTATATGAACCTCAGTGAGTTATTTAATGCCGACTATATTTTTATTGCTGGTAATATTTGTTTTTTTCCAAAAATGTATTGCTGGTAATATTTTCCTTCAAAAATATTTTGCTGGTATATTTTTCTTCAAAACTTTATTGCTGGTAATATTTTTTACAAAAATATATTGCTTGTATTAAAATCTATTTTCACACTTTCATAGTGTTTTGACCCCAGTTTGGGGGTTAACTATTTGCCCATAGCAGGAACCCTAACATGTGCTACCACCCCGGGTCAAGGTTGACCTGGGAACACCAGCAATTAAGAGGTGGTTCTACGCTCCTCAAAACCTCCTGATCAGAGGACTTGTTGCTGGATGTAGTTTATCGTCTTGACCCAGGACAACTCATTTTTTTGGTGGGGGGGGGACCCTTTTAATTCATTATTCATTATTTCGTACTTAGTGCATTTTTTATTTACTCATTAATTATTTTCTGTTGATTATTATTATATTTACTTGTATGTATGGATTTGTAGTTATTTGTGTATTATTTACTTAATTTGTTACTTTATTAATTTATTTTAATTTTGTTAATATTAATTTTATTTTATTTATTTTTTTTATTCTTTTTTTTTTTTTTTTTTTTTTTTTGCTTTTCGAGGGTTGGGTATCTTATTTTTTTAGTTTAAATGATAGGCCTTTACAGGAACGATAGTCTGATAATACTAAGAAACTGTAACAGAAAAACAAGACAAAACCAGAGAAATAATCAGAAAAACTTTCAAAAGTGTAGGATTTGACATATACATAGAAACAAACCTAAAAGTAGATTTCCTAGACATTACCCTCAACCTAAAAAAAGCTACCTATCAACCACATAACAAACCAGTTTAAATACGCACGTCTTCCAACTACCCACTAACAATAATCAAGCAGATTCCACAATCAATTAACCTCTGCTTATCTGAAAATTCTTCTTATGAAACCATCTTCAACGAAGCCAAAAAAATCTATGAAGCAGCCTTAAAAGATAACGAATCTTCGGCAACACTCACATACGCACCACACTGTATATAAAATCCAACATAAAAGAAACAGCATATGGTTTAACCCACCGTACAACAAAAACGTAAAATAAATGTAGGAAAATATTAAATTCATACACAAACACTTCTCCACCCAAGCACTCTGGATAAGATATTCAACAGAAACGCAATAAAAATACGCTAAAGTTGCAGCGAAAAGATGAAACAAATAATAAAAAAGCACAACAGAAAAATAACCAATAAATTACCTGCATAAATCAAACCCACCTGTAACTGCAGAGCAAAACAAAAGTGTCCCTTAAATGCTTTCAAAACAATATAATATACTAAGCCACTGTATAAGGTATACATAGGAGTAGGACCATGGAAACAGAGAGACTACGCATACAAAATACCTTTACCAAGAGGATATACGCGAACAGCACAGCTCTTTCTAAACATATATGGGAAATTATAACATTGCAAATACCTCTTTAGATTTTATCAAGTATCTCTAAATACATACCAGAAGCAGCAGACCATGTTTAGCAAGAATATTCAAAACAAACTTTCCTGGCAGCAGATGTATCAATTAGTTCAATATAATCTTTCCACTTCATGTCAGCGGAAAATGTTAGACCGGGTAGGCGCAATGAATCACTCTCCTGGAGGCTAGCATCAGCCATATGCTGATTGAAGACAAAAAAGCTTCCTTAAAACGATTAAAATAGAGTAATTTCAATGTATAGGTGTTTAAATTAACAAACATTTTTGTCCCACTTAACAACAGATTAAAGGTCATTTTTTAAATTAGCTGCCAATTTGACCTTATACAACTGATCAAATTTACTATTGAGACACGAGTAAATAGTTGTGGCACATAGATACTGAGTTAAGAACTGATGATATTAGGAAGCAGGAAGGTCGTTGATGAAAATAAGCAAGTGTAGATGCAAGGGAAAAACCCTGGGGCCACCCGTATTAATGCAAAAAGAGTGCCTTTCATTCCACGATTTGATAAAAGAAATCTTGAAACAGATCAAAAATTCGTGTAAAAATATCATAACCTTTCGACTTGTGAAGAAGACCAGCAATCCAAACCATGTCAGACGCCTTCAAGATAGCCAAATAAACGCCGATCTTTTACTCGACAGTAATTTAACATCGCTTGAAGAGACACATTTATGGTATTAAAGCATAATTGCAATTGTGTAGCGATTTTTAACATATTTTAATATCCTAAAATATATATATATATATATATATATATGATAAAATATAGTTTTAAGGTATGTGATGCTTATGGGTTAAAGTGCTCGATATCAGACACATCGAATGGAAATATAAAAGTGGGCATTGAGGCGACAGTCTGTTCCGTCAGATGAAACAGACTGTCGCAACCTGAGTGTTGATCTCAATGTCCACTTTTATATTTAAGTTGCAAGAGGTTGCATTATTAACGAGAGAAAATAATGAAAGGTTAGGAATTAAGATATTATATATATATACACACACACACATATCAAGTTTTAATTTTTAATCCAAAGTTTTTATTATGTCAAAGGTATTTTGGTGGATATCTTTATCTGAGCAGACTCCCCGTTTTTTAAACAGTGAATATTACGTCTACCGGCTTGTGCAAATCTTAATAAAGAAAATGTGGCCTCCAGCAGGGTTCGAACCTGCTACCCTCTTAGTAGGAGAAACTACAGTCTGATCGAGCGTTGTTTAGACCGCTCGCCCACACAGTGCCATAGTCCAGCAAAGTTTGTATTGGCCTTTGTAGTTGATGGCCATCCTCTCGTTCAGTTTTTCCCGAATGTCATTAATTTTACTGATATAGTTTTATTTTGGTGTTTTAATGCCTTGACCAATTGCTAAGAATCTCGGAGTATTAAGTTTAGATCGCTCTAGCAGAAAAAAAATCATTATAAGTGGGAGGAGTGTTCCGTTGACGATTAGAAAGGCTGTCTGCTACACTAACTCAGTAACCATTTCTTGAAGGTCATGTCAATTATTAGACTTTGCAACTTAACGTCTTTCAATTATAGGGCTCTCCAAACGGAATATAAATCAGTTTGAGAGACATTCATGCATTTATCTATTCATTCATTGACATTAATGACACTCAAGTTCTTTCGCACATTGGAGTTTAAATACGAATCTGTTTATTTCATCGGCTTTTGTGTCGAGGCAAACATAAACTTCTTACGGACATTTTGATTTTGTTTGATATTTTTTGAGGATGTTGATATAGGATGGAAAGTAAATTGAACGCGACTGAAATCTTCAGGTGATTTCAGGTGATTAATGACCCTTATCATTTTATTTAAGAGGTAAGTAAATGCTTCCTGGCAAAGTATATACTAGGTATATTTATGTCACTCTTCATACAATAGATAGATAGATAGATAGATAGATAGATAGATAGATAGATAGATAGATAGATATGAAAAGTTTATGGCAGATAGATAGATAGATAGATAGATAGATAGATAGATAGATAGGAATAGGAATAGGCTGATCTAGATAGATGGCTATAGACTGTGATAGAGTGACATAGAGAGAGAGAGAGGAATAGACTGTGAGAGAGAGAGAGATCTGAAGTGAATTCCGTGTACTTTCTAATGCTACTACTACTATGCAGTTAGCTAAACATGGCGTGTCTATATATATTAAAAAGGAATGATTGTCTAAGTGCAGGTTAGATGTGGCACAAGGCCGAAAGTATAGGGCACCCAGTGAGGATCGAACTCACTATTCAGAAGTAATTTATTTAACGTGACAATATTAGTAATCATTCCACCGCGTCGAAGTATCCAAGGAAACTCTTACGTCTGGAATAATTGAAATTCTTAATTTCAGAGCATCAATTTAAATTCAAAATATTTCATTCGGCATTTTTTCATTCAATTTTATTGTATTGTGGCCTTTTTTTTTTCTTTTTCCTTTTTTCTTTCTTAACTTTGTTTTATCTTTTTTCTTTTTCAGGTAAGTAACTGCTAAATTCTGTACCGTCTGCTGTTTCAAACTTAACGACCAGTTCAGGTAGGCACATGATTCTTTGATTTTTTTTTTTTTGTTATGAAAACTGATTCTTAATCGTCACGCTTCGCCTACGATTTTGATGGCTATCTTTAAAAATCAAAAGCAGCATTTTAGAGAATTAAAAATGGTTGGGGGTGGTCGCCACTGGATTAACAAATGATTATTGTTTGTTAATTAGAAATTAATTAGCAAATTAGGAAATAAGAAGACAATTAATGTATATGTACATATTTGTGTGTGTGATAAAAAAATGTATATGTGATGGTTTTTCTATGTGCCTTTGTGTGTATGTTTACATTTGTCTGTAAATGCATTTATGCATCTGTCCGTCTTGTGCTCTATCTGTGTGTGGATGTGCATGTGTGCGTGCCCGCAAATGAACGCAACATGTATACGTCTATGTCTACATCTGTTACTAAATATATGTGCGTGTGAGCATGGGTATCGTGTACTTGCGTGCGCGCGCGCGTGTGTGTGTGTGTGTGTGTGTGTGTGTGTGTGTGTGTGTGTGTGTGCTTCAACTTAAAAATGAATTTCCAAATTAAATATGTCAGATCAAGGACCATTTCTCTCTTGTGTCTGTCCAAGAACCTCCCCTCGAAAATTCTGCTTTTACAATCAAGGTATTGAAACCATTTTTCACAATTTTACCGAAATTTCGGCTACTGACAAACCTGCTTGTTTATAAATTCCGCGATGATAAAGAAATGTAAATTCCCTGGAAAAAATCGATAAATACTTAAAGAAAAAAAAGAAAACCTTCATATCGTAAATATTTCTTCTCTTATTTTGTGATCTATGTGAGTCTTTATTGTGATTTTTCAAGCGTAGCTCAGATGTGGCACAAGGCCGAAAGTATGGGGCACCCAGTGACGATCGAATTCACTATTCAGTCGTAATTGTTCTAGAGAGCCAAGTTTGCTAACCATTACACCACCTCGAGGTACCCAAGCTGATGGTTTATTAATCGACAAGCCAGAACAGTTACTTGCTGAACCGACCAAAAGAAAATGGAGGAAAATTGGGCAGATGGGGGACAAAGAGGGACAGGGAAGAATAATAAAAGGACAAACATTATTTAAAGCTACAAAGGATGATGTGGAGAGCCATGATCATCCAAGTCCTGAAGAGAAACGACACATAAAAGAATTCAGTTAACATAGTTCTCATTAATATTTCTTCAGCTTAATTTTGCCTTTGCCTGAAAGAAAGATTCCGTTTCACGTTGCTTACAGACAGGAAGAACCTTTTTTCTACCTTTTGATAATCAGCATTCCAAAACTTAGCTTTCACTTAGTTCTGCACACTAACCGCTTACGGTCATACCACACTGGGTTAAACGGTCCGATCAGTGCAGTTAAGCAACATTGAGCCTGGTCAGTACCTAGATGTGTGACAGTTTGGGAATAACAGAGGCTGTAAGCTTGGATATGCAGTTAGTGTAATGGATAACGTCTTGGAATGAGAAATCGGCGAGCCGAGTTCGAATTCCAGTCGGGTCCGTTACATTCACTTACGGGAAAATACCCCTGGCCAATCCTGAATCGAAAAAAGACATGATCATCCAAAATGTGTCACACCCACCGCCAACAACACACGGTGCGGTAGAGTTATGGCTCATTTCTCTCCATGAATCGGTGGGTGGAGGCCTCCAATAAAAAAGGATATTCACAGGTTGAGAAAAAGAGGAGGACACTGACCGCTTTTACCGGCGGGAGATAAGCTTCTTTACTTACCATTTTTTTTTTTTTAAATGCCATGTCCCTTCGTAGACGATCATGCCTCTCCACAGATAGTGGAGTAGTTTCCCATTGCCTTCTACATATTTTGGAATACAAAATTTTCCTTTTCTTAGACTAATTGCCAGCCAATGTTATAATTATTCTGCTATTTAACCCATAGCTGGAGAGAAGAGCTATGGATTCATGCTTTTTGAAAAAGACATTTGTGCAAAAGTGAAAGCAACGAGTTTGAACCCGGCTCGTCGATTTCATTTTCCGCGATGATAACCGTTGCGCTACACGTACATCGAAGAAGATTCATTCACTGGGGAATGGATTTTCTAGCTCTCACTAAAATCTCTTTTTATCATAAATGATTTTAATCCAAAGTTCATATCAAATCATAGAATCATAGAATAAAAATGGTTCATCAGAATTAGTCGCTTTGCTGAACTGGTTTCCTTTCAAAACGTCATCAGTTCTTCGACTCACAGATTTTGTTTCAGAACACCGGAAGTAGATTCTTCCCTCCCCCTCCTTAGGTTGTCGTCTCCTTTTCCTCAGTCGTGCTCAAATAATTAACTCAAAACAACGCCTAGCATGAAATTCCTAATATCTATCTTTTCATTTATTGCAATAAAATATTTGTTATATATATATATATATATATATATATATATATATATATTATAAAAATATGTTTGGTGGTACAAAATTTTATGACTGCCATGAAAAATCAAAACTTAGTTTTATTATTACCACTCATGATAATAAAAAGTAAAACTGAAAAACGGGCTAGCTAACCGGTTTCGTACCTCGCTCAACAGAGGTAAATAGAGTAAATTATATAATTAAAAAAAATGGAGAAAGTTTATTAGTGGCAAAAAAATTAAATGGCAATTAGTTTGAGGCCTAATATAAAGTCCTTCTGTTTACAAAGAGAAGGCTTTAAAGATAGAATATAGATGGCCTCCAACACTTTTAGGTGGTAAATTAAGTGGGACTTACTAAGGATGGTAAAAGCGTCCGCACTAAAACTAACAGCACAATTATAGATATTTATAAGGTGTGCTGCGACGGAAGACCATTACGTATTGGTCAGAATGTCCGAGAGAGTGTACTTCCGGTTTCGGATTTTCGCTGGAACGTGTTGTTTTATTCTAGCATCTAGCTTTTGTGTCGTTCTCCCTATGTAGTGCGAACTGAAACTACATTTAACGGAATAAATTAGTGAACTATTATGGTGTGGTGTGAGAACATCCTTACGTATAGACGGAAGAACAGGCTTGGCAGAGAACCTATATATATATATATATATATATATATAGAGAGAGAGAGAGAGAATAAACAGAAACATGTCCGTGTATTGTTTAATATATTGTAATGTAATTGTCATCTTTGATAATGGCTTATGTAAGCCAAAAGCTTAGATAGGATTAAAAAAACATGTATCAATATTGTGATTTTCTTTCGTCTTTCAATGATATGTTATTAAGCTTATCAGACGATATGAAAAGAATTTGCAAAAAATAAATAGACAAAACTTGTCTATATTATTTAATGAAACATGCATCAATATATATATATATATATATATATATATATATATATATATATATATATAAAATAGATAGGTTGGTTAATAAAACAAAGGAAAACGAAAAAGTACCAAAGTGATCGCTAAGAAAAGAATTTATTATATATTAATTGTTAATCACAAGACAGAAATGAATCACGGAGATTAATTCTTTTTTTTTTTCTTTTTTTTTTTGGCTGGTGTGAACTCGTTGTAGGTGGTATTATTAGTATAAATCCGATCCTTGCTTTATTCCTCCCGTGCAAAACTTTTTTTGAAATTGATCGGGGTGAACGCATTAGTCTGTTTTGTCATTATTGGTGGCAATTTGATTTTGAATTAGAGGAAGAGGCTTCTGGGGTGGGGAAGACGTCCTTATGTGATCAGTGTTGATGGATTTGACTAGATGGGTATATATATATATATATATATATATATATATATATATATATATATATATATCTTTGTGAATCCGTTTGATCAGATGAGACGAGACCGATTAATCGTTCTTGCGAAATAAAATATTACTATGGGTTTCTAAAGTCTCCGCTTTCATCATTATCATTTGCTCTGTTCTTTCATTTATATCCTCTCTCTCTCTCTCTCTATATATATATATATATATATATATATATATATTCTAAATAAACCTTCAGTAATTTTCGACACTCATCATCACCCTCAACTTTACTGAAATTGTTTAACACTCGTCCATTTTCTTCTACTCTTGAGAATGGTGGATTTCGAGAGGCTTCACAAGTTAAATAGCCGAGAGCCTCTCTTCATCTCCATCTGTCCCTGAGTTTAGGGCTACTCGGTCGGCAATGGCACAGAGCTGAACAGACAGGTTTTTGAAAGAAACACTCTACATTTACCGAGTTTAGCATAGTCTGAATCAAGGTCACTTTAACGAGATCCTCAGTGAAGTTGAAATTTCTGACATTAGCGAATAGTTTGCAAAGTATCTTTGCTAAGCCACCGTGTCGAAAATAATGAAGAGTGTGACTCGTTTTTTTTTTTTTTTTGGTTTTGTTTTGTTTTGTTTTTGTTTTGTTTTTTTTTTTTTTTGGGGGGTCTCTACCTGTAAATATACCTTGTGGAATTTTCTCCAGGTTTTCTCGTTTTTTGTCTTGGCAGCACCAGAGATTGGAATTTCTTTCAGTCTCTCCGATGCTTGTTGCTAAAGTTCAATTTTATCTCGCAAGAATAAACATGGTTCATTAGAAATTGTCGTTTTGATGAACTCGTTTCTTTTC